ATGACACAACCTAAAAATGGTAAATGTTTTGCATGTTGATGAATTGTAGTAGATAGAAGGGCAAGGTCAGACCAAAAACTTCTGGGGAATTAAAGATTTAATAATAAGCAGGATAAATTTGACATGTGAAGGAAAGTTCAAAGTCCTACCTGGTCAAGAAATGTTTGTAGGTCACATTCCCTCAGTGACAAATTAGACACAACATCTGGATAGCTCTGATTTAAATGTTTGTACCATTTATTGTAGTTGTCCAATGTTATGTTTTGATCTGAAATCTCAAAGTGGTTGGTCAGAGTCAGGATGTTCCTGCAAATGAGATTTGAGAAATTTGATTAATATTTCCATATTGAATGTGCGTAAAGAAGCTTTAAAGCCATCACAAGTACACTTGCATACTCTTTTAGGCAAGCGTTAAAGCCATTGGTGGCTTTAAATCCCAGTATGGAAAAAATGGGGATGGATGCGTAGAGAGATGTGGCGCTGTTTATTACTCCTACAAGAACAGCGTCCCTCTCACAATCATTTCTGAAAAACAGAGCAGGATTAATAGTTGGGTTTAATCATCACTTTAACTCTGCCAGAAGTTTCGGTTCTTACCTTTCTCCATTATAGCTGGAGAAAGCTATGAGACCTCCGAACGCCACAGAAAGAGAAAAGAAGATCTGGGTGGCAGCATCCAGCCACACCTGTGGGTCCTTTAAGATTTCCCACTGCATCAAAAACATGTATTAGATGTGTTTTAGATACAACCTATAACCATGAAGTAACACAAAAAGACCCACATTGGGAGTGAAAAGGTAAACCAAACCATCAGTGGCTCCAGGAAGGGTGAGGGCACGGATCAGGAAGATGGTCAGCACTAAGTAGGGGAATGTGGCTGTCACATAAACTGCCTAAAAAGTTTAAAATGTAAACATTAGTTGAAATTTAAATGAGTTTTTAAAGTAAGAACAATAAATTAGGAAATTTGTATTTGGTTGATTATTTATGATTGTAGCTATACTTAAACCATTGGAAAGTCTGTTTATTTTCCCATTAATGTTGCCATGTTTTTTTAAAATGCATTTGTGGGTTGTGCAAATGAAAAACTTACCAAATCTCAACTGCCAATAGACACTGAACATTCTGCTACTGATTCTTGTTGGTGTTATTTATTTATTTGGATAATTGAAGTCTGAACAAACAAGGCACTCTGGCAATTTGAAAAGATACCAATTTAACAAACAACGGCTTCAGTAACATGTAGAATAACCATACACAACCCTAATATCCTGGTATCCCTTTCTTCTGATGCTCAAAAGTTTGTCACACACTGCAATACCGACAGCATCCCCTTGTTCAAGTAAAATTTGTCATTTGTCAGCCAGTGTAGTTGTGTTGATTACTCTGGAACAAACAGCACACTCATTTGATCCAACAGGTGTTGTGTTCTTTGAAGATGGGGTCAGAACTGAATGCATGCATGTCAAAGACTGCAAGCTCTCCTCTCCCAAACCATGAAGGTATTCCTGTCTGTCCCAAACTGGCACACTTCTTCAGTCTGAGGCATTACAGCACAGACTTAAAGGCAGTACTTTCACATGGTGGACAAACAAGTTCAACAATGACAGTACAAACTGTTTGTTCACATGCAAAAGAGGACCATCAGCCTAACAACTGATAGTTAGGACTCAATAGCACAGTAAGCTGTTTTATATTGGCAAATGTTTGGTAAGTTTTTCATGGGTGCAATACATACTTAGTTCAACCGCTCAAGTCCACAGCAGATGTGGCACCATGTGGACAGGCCTTCCAACAGTGTAAAATGTATAAGCAAGAATCATGGTTACAGCAAAGAAAATATCAACCAAACACAAACTGTCTTTGTTTTATGCTGTTTGTTTGTGGTCACTGACCTTTCCCACGGACTCAATGCCTTTAATGAAGCAGATGTAAACCACGCACCAGGCAGTAGCCAGACAAATGACCAGCCACCACTGCAAGGAACCATTAATCTCGATGTCTGGTGTGATGTTCAGAGTGTCACGGTACCAAAAATAATTCACCGGGGTACTCTTCTCACACTCATCATTATAACCTAAGTAAGATGCAACAAATATTAAAAATCTGTGCCAATAAAAATACTTCAAAAGATTCTGTTGTTTCATATTGCATCATAAGAGAACAAACTTTCCAGTTCATTTTTAATAATTTGATATTTTGTTAACAGACAGTCAATCACACACTTGATGATGGCATACATTTTATACTGTGCATGGTCACAAATTTATCCAAAACTGCAAGGATTTTTCTTCTCACCGGTTTGATTTTCATTCAGAGGACACTCCTTCCAGGGCAGCGGGTCTTGAAAAGAGTGAAAAAAGTACCAGAGTACCCAGGCCAGGATGGTGTTGTAGAACATTCCTACCAGGAATGACACAAACATGGAGGCGATGCCTGAAGACAGGAAATGTTAGCGAGTGAAGAAATGTTTTAAAAACCAAAGCAAGTTGGACGACTTTTACAATAAAGTTTTAAACTTCTACTTGTAAAATTAAATGTTTGAATTTTTAAGGACCAGTATAAGATTAAACTGTATAAGTCAAGTTAACAAGACTTTACTCATAACTTCAGGCCACCCACCGACTCCACCCAGCAGCGGAGAGATGGAGTTCCAGACTCCGATGCTGCCCATGCGAAGCCTCTGTCCTATTGCCAGCTCCAGGTAGAGCAGTGGGAGGCCCTCAAACACCAACGCTATCAGGTAAGGGATGAGGAAAGCTCCTGATAATGTGGGAAAATTGACAGGTGACATAATACAGTTTTAGTATGTTTTACCAATCAGTAGCAACAACAGGAAACTGAACAGAAACAATACAGACTGCAGACTGCAGTAAATAACATAGGAAGGGGACATTTCTGATACAGTAGCTAGCTGTACTATTAGAAAAAGTAAATGATTGTTCATGTTTTAGAATCATTGCCAGGAACAGGAAATGTTTATTACCTTGGACAAACAGACATATGTAATACATTACACAGGACTGTAAGGACCTCCAAATCAAGAGACGCATAAACATTTTAAGGAATGTTTTCTGTATTCTTTTAAAATTTCCAAAGCTTGCCATGAGTTAAACCAAAAATAATGAAACAATAAATTTGTCATTTATCAATTAGATTCCTGGTTCGTGCAACACAGAGTATGGTATGCCTGTGTATTTATACATTTTGCTGCTTTCTTTACAATTTGTAAGCAGTAATTACTTGTACACAATGCATGCCCAGTGTGTTCAGGAGGTATTGAGACCCCTTAACTTTTTGTTGTTTTGTTTTGTTGCAACCTGATGCTACAGCTGATAAAAATAACTTATTTAGTTTCTTGAATCTACTCTCAGTACAAAAAGAAAAAATAAGTAGGTCCTCTGGATGGGTTCTTCTTTAGTGAAAAGTTTCATCTCTCCTCCAAGAGACTTCTTCAGTCTGATGAGTTTCAGGTGCACTCAGCCTCATAAGCAGTGGTGGACAAAGTACTCAACTCTAGTACTTGAGTAAAAGTATTGATACTTATGGTCAAATCTACTCCACTACAAGTAAAAGTTACTCAGTCAAAAATCTACTCAAGTAAAAGTACTGAAGTACTTACTTTTGAAAA